CGTCTCTGTGTGAGGTGTTCAGAGCCGAGCTGTTTAGCAGCTCCTGCACCTCAGTCTTCAGCTCATCGTTATCTCTAGCCAGCTGGTTCAGTTTCTCCTGCAGGAGGCAGTAATGCAGCATATTTACACCTCGACAACTTACTGGAGGCGCTGATACTCATTTCACATGCAGAGATATTGTCCAATCACAACACAGCTAATTTACATGCGTTTCTTTAAGTGTTGGCACAAAACTGAAATTCTAACTTCAATACAAGACCTTGAAAATTATTGATATTTGATACCATTTACCACAGGAAGAAATTGCCACAACATTAAGAACATAAAATTTGAAGAGCGTCTAACTTAATTTACTTTTGACCACAGTCACAGCATTTTATTATTAACTGAAACACTCCTGTCTGAAAGCTCTGAGCGGATTATGTAGTAAAAGTAATAATAATAATAATAATATTTTTAAAGCAGAAATATATTACTGTTACTGTTTACAATGAAAAGTATATTATTTTACTTTATTAAAATGTTTACTATATTTTAGACTAATAATTATTAAAAATTTTATTTCACAAGAGTAATTAATTATTCATTATTTTTACTTTTGTAGCAGGATTTTATAATTAATGAGTAATGCTTTAATGTCTTCATTTGCAAGAGTTAAACCCTTGATTCAATATATTAATGAAATTATATTATCTAATAATTACACAAATAAATGTGAATTGAATTTATACTAAAACACAGATTCAGCAAAGAACACAAAATCTCCCCCTTGAGATTTTAAGTTAATATTTCATAATAATATTATTTAATGAAACGTTCACGGTTCTCTGATGTTGGTTAATGGTCACATGACATGCAAGTTTTTAACAAAATTATTAAATTTTTGTAGTTGGATTTAATAATTAATAATGACTTGAACCCTTGAGCGTTTATTTTGCAAATGTGAAAAGGCGTAACTGGTGCACAGTGCGTTCCCAAATGCACATTAAAGTCACATGCATTGACTGAACTCAGAGATGCTGAAATCACAGGATCATGAGCTGATCGTGTATAAAAACAACATAACAGACTATATAGTCTTTAACTAAAATGCACACTCTGGGGTGTATCAACTTGATATCAGAGAAAAGATCGAGTGATCTCAGATGGAAAAAATGAGTTTCCAATATATAAAATTGATATGCATAAAAACTCGATATTTTGGACAACACCAGTGTGTTTAATGGTAGGGTGGAAGATGGTCAAGTGGCGGTGTTTACCTGCGCCTCCTGCAGCTGCACGTGACTCTGCTCCAGCTGCACTTTGCCCTGCACCTCGTCGTGCTGCAGTCGGTCCATCAGCTGCGCCTGCTGCAGGAACTGATGGTGCAGATGTTCTCGCTCCGCCACCAGCTGCTGGTATCCAGCCGTGTACTGCTGCAGGTGAGCCAGACACTGATCCCTGTGCTCCTGCGCAGACGCCAGCTCTCCGCACTTCTCCTGCAGCTGATGAGAGGAAGAGCGGAGAGTCGGGTTAGGAGCGCAAACATTACAGCTGCGCAAAAATCAGTATCCCTTTGAGACAAAGGTTTCCAAACTCGTTTTGTCAGCCAGACTCTTCAGACACAAAATATTTACTTGATGTTGTTGTATTTAAATGCATTGCCATATCGGCTTCACAGTCTATTACATGGAAGATCAGGGTTATTATAGTTCATCAACATTAAAATTAAAACCATTAAAAACATTAGTGTAACTTGAAATAAAATAAATGTAGAAAAATTTCTACTAGTTGCCAAGGCAACATTTCTCATTTTAATTAGTTTAATTTGATGTACTAAAATAACTAAAACTGAAATAGTAATAATAATAACATCTATATAGACATATAAATAATAAATCAACTTTTAAAAACACACTTGTTTGATCTGGTCTACTAATATCCCATTCTTATTACATTGTATTATGGTCTTGATCATTACTCTGTCTTCAGAATGTTTATCTTGAAGTCCCCCTGAGGTTTTAAGATAATATTTCAATAATGTAATAACACATTCACATGCTCACAGTTCTCGGATGTCGGTTAATAGTCACATGACAACATGCAAGTAAACAAATAAAATATTTAATCTTTTTTTAGTAAGTGTTTTATTTTGACATTGTAGCGGGCTTCAATCATTATTAAATGTTATAATAATTACACAATTACTATTATTATTGTTGTGGTTATAATAATAATTATTAATATTATTGTTAATGTTTTAACTAACAAAAATGAAGTGATATATTACTGGTGTAATTTACATTAAATATTAGATCATTTTATTTTACACTACAAGTCACAATACTAATATTTCTGTCTTAAATTCTGTACTTTCAGACCCTGACGTTTTAAACATTTTAAATCCTTTTATTTTTGGTTAAATACTGATGAAATGCTGTCCACAAGAATCTTGGAGTTAATGCATAAAGTGAACCAATCGCATATTGATTTCCCAAAATGCACCGTGAAGCCACAGTGCTTGCAGAGATGTATTTTGCTCGATTTACTGTGAACCGACCATCAGATTTATTGTTAAAGGATTATCAGCTGCTTGCGTTTTCCTTTATTTTGATAGCCGCAATAAGCTATATCAAGCATTTTTTATTTTTCCATCGGGTATAATTATGAGCTCTTCATCAACCCCTGCTTTAAGATAACATCTTCTCCTTTGATTTTTATGCAGACACACACCTGTTCTTTGGCATTGTGCAGGTCTTCCTGCAGCTGACCAATCTTACGAGCGATCTCCTTCTTGATGTGCTGCTCGGACTGCAGAGCGCTGGTCAGCTCCATGTTCTCATTGGTCTGGAGGAGGACAGAGGTCAGAGGTCAGGGGTCAGGTTCACTCGCGTGCACAAGTCATCTGTCACTAGAGCTCACCAGCTTGACGAAGCCGTTCTGCAGCTCGGCCAGCTGGTTTTTGAGGTCTCGGTTCTGGGCCAGGGCTCTGCTGATGGTGGCCTTGTCGCTCTGGACGTCCTCCAGAATCTGCAGTCGATCCTGAGCCTCTTCCGCGGAGCGTTCTGCGTGTCTCTCCAGTTCTTCCAGCCTCACTTCCTGTTCCTGCACCAGTCGGCTCAGCTGCTCGTTGTCTCGCACCTACAGGACACAACAGAGCACTCAAATACCTCTGTAATAAGTGTCTGATATCATAACATTATACCACCAAGCCCTAGCTCCTGTCAGCTGTACAGGTTGAAATGTCTGCATTTCAACACATACATCACACATTTTTAACAAAGTTTACACTTCTAGTAATTACAATTGTGATGCAACATATTTCAAATTTATGTCTAAAAGTTAAGATGCAAATTAAAAGCCTTGAATGCAGTGGTTATCAACCAGAGCCTGGCCACAAGATGACTTAAGATTACTTAAAATAAGATAAAACAAGTATTAAATAAAATAAAACAAGAAACATTTTTATATTTCATATATATATATATATATTAAAGAGCTTAATTTACCCCCAATAGCAATAGTTTTTCATGTAGAAAAAAATTGATATATAAGGAAGTTATTTTAAAGCCATATTTTTATTTTATTAAAATTATATATTTTTTATAATTAATATAAATACATTCCGCTCTTAAAACTTTTAATTTTAATCATAACTATTTTTATTTTTTAATATTAATTTCACATTTTTAAATTTTAAGTCGTTTTGGTCAATTCTGAATTTACAGAAACTAGAATTAAACCCATAGATTAAAATAAGTTACAAACACAAAACTAGGGCTAGGGGCCCTTCGAATATCATTGTGGACAATGAAGGGGGCTTAAGAGTCAAAACGGCTGGTCTAATGCATTTTAAATAACATATTAATCTAAATATACTACAATAAGGATGCGCATGCTGCATGATCTAGTATCTTCACTTGTAAGTTTAGAAAAACATGAGTCAATTGTAAAATTTAACAACTAAAATGCGTGACAAAGCATGCGTCACATGGTCAGTGTAGGTCACCTGTGCTTGGTACTGCAGACTGAGAGCGTCTCTCTCCTCCTGAAGGCTGCTGATGGTTTCCTGAAGGGCCAGTTCACTTTCTGAAGGGCCTGAGGCCTGTGACACGGCCTGCGGCTCCTGCTCTTTACTCATCAGAGCTGCGGACACAAGACAAACCTGTCATGTTTCTGTCTGAAATGTGTTTCCTCACTCGAAACCTGAATGTTCTTTCTGGACACATGATGAAAAAGCTAACTTGTCGGTGTTTGTTTTATAAAGCGGAGAGTTCCGGTGCTTGATTCTGATTGGCTGAGCCGCGTTCGAAGCTGTTGTGAATGACGCTACAAAGTAACACACACCTTTGTTTACGTTTGTGTGTTGCTCGGCAACCACTTTGTAGCAACCACAACTGTTTCTGAGGAGCTACATTGTTTGGTGGAAGAATACTGTTTTTATTAATATCATTACACTTTATTTGCTCTGTTTTATTTTGTGAAACCTTACTGCGTATATGGAATAACCGTGTTTTATAAAAGCAATAAGCCCCGTGAAGCCGTGGTTTACAGTGAATGTATAACAGTGCCTAATAACACCCCTTACCTGTTATAAATTCACTGTAAACCATGGCTTCTTGGGGCTTATTGCTTTATTTTGGTAAGCAGGGGAAAAAACACTTCATTGTGTCATGATCAATGAGAATGTGACGTAAAGGGTGTGTGTGTCACGTCTTGTACCTGCAGCGTTCTCCAGCTCTGTGATCTTCTCCTGCAGCTCCTGAATCTGAGCAGCAGTGCTGTCGCGCTCCTCTGACATCAGACGCACCTACACACACACACACACACACACACACACACACACACACAGAGAGAGACACAGAGACACACACACACACAGA